GACCCACGTTTCTCCATGTCCTCTCTTCATAGTTTATTTGTTGTGTTGAGAGACTGATGAAAATTGTTGAAGAAGAAGAAAGGAAAGAGTTTTTTAGATATAGGTGTTTACTTTACTTCACGGGTAGGTAAGGTGTTTTAATGGGGATTTTTGAAGGAGAAGAAATAAAAAGGAATTGGGTGTTTTTTTAATTTATAAATTTTTGTGATTTGGTTACAGACAATATTGTGGAAAGAGAGGTCCGAATCTGATGGGAACAAAATATAAACACGAGGGAGTGAGAGAGAGAGGTCCAATGAGAGAAGTGAAAGTGAAGAAGTGTGCTTAAGAGATAAGGAGGAAACAGAGGAAATGCTTCCACTATTGTTTGGCATCTGTTTTCTCTTTTCCTAACTTCAAGAATTTTTTACTCCTTTTTTTACTTCCCACAAATATATATAATAATGGATTTTTAATTTGAACTAAATTTATAAACAAACGGATAAAATTAGTTAGAAAAGTGACATGGTTTAGATTATTTCAAACATGACGACCCCGGAAAAAAGATCATTTCAAACATAGACAGTTTGAAAATTAGTTTCATTGGTGAATTCTTATGAGTGTTAACCAATAGTCAAAATTTAAGGTTGTGAAGTGCTCTAAACTTTTCTCAAAATTTATATTCCTCAACTCTTATTAGATTTAAGCAATGTTTAAAAACGCGGCTTCCGCGACCGTTTAATCGCCGGACAGGCGCTCGACGGCCGGGAACTGCCGCGATTAGAACTAATTCGGAAAAAAAATCATGATGAACCAACTTATTCATTTGTTAATGAATTTTAAGTTTAAAATCAGATCTTTGATTGTGGATCTATCATAATAGGATATAAACCACAAAGAAAACAATAAAATCCGACATTTATGGTGAACAAAAAAAAAGAAGCGGCGAAATTAGGTTTTATTATCGGTGGTGAAAAGATTGAAGACGAGTGTAAAAATGAAAATTTATGTTTCATTAAAGAAAAAAACGAGAAAACAACAAAAACACGCACTTTTACGCTTCAAACCCGGGTCTGGAAACTTATTCTAGCACTGCTAACCAGTAGGCTAAGAACACATTATTGTTTTATGGACGCTTATATAATATATATCCTAATATATTTATTAAAACTAG